GATGATAAAAACCCAACACCAAGTGCAGAAATGGTCAGAGTAAAAATCTGGAAAGCTCAATCGGCTTGAGAGGTGCTACTGTGTCCACTGCGGAGAACCGTCTGGCCAAACTGAGCACGCTCACGTGAGTGTTTGTCCAGCTGATAATGACAGATGAACGTACTCGGTCGGCTCCTAAATGCCGCTGAGCAGATCTCCTCAATGGGCAGAGCAGCAGCGTAAGCCTTGGAGGTAGCTACTGCACTACGCACCGGAGTAGCCTCGGATAATAGATGCAGCTTAGCCAGACTCTAACCGAGACTGTAAAAGTCCAACACCTCGACTACAGTCGAAGAAAAGGGATCGAGAATCCCTCTATTTCCACACCAGCGCGCATAACAGGCCCACCTATCCTCATACTGTACGTTAGTCGAATCCCTCCGAGAAGCCAGAATTGTGTCTGCAACTGGTGCAGGAATTCCGTTCGCTTGGAGGCGATTCCGGACAGAGGCCAAGCCACCCACTGAATCCTGGGATTCGGGTGTGGCGTGCCTTCCTGGGATAGTAGGTCCGGTCGCATTGGTAATAGTACAGGAGTCTAGACAAGCAACCTGAGTATTACCAGCAACCAGCGCTGAGATGACCACAGAGGTGCAAGAAGCACTGAGGTCGCCCAGGACACACCCCCAGCCTGAATTGTTAGTGTCGGCACCGGTGTTTCCAACAGTAAACCCTTGGATAGATTCCCGGTGTCGGTCCACCACCGTAAGTGAGGAATGACCCACTCCGGAGTTACCAGAATCTTCTCGTAACTCTCTGAGTGAGACCACAGCTGCGCTATCGCTTGCTGAACAGGTTGCATCCTCAGGCATGCACGCCAAACTATGTCCACTGTCGCCGCCATGTTGAAGCCAAGTTCGAGCTGAGGCCCTGGGGGACTGGAGAAATTGAAACACAATCCCCTGGACTTTGGGAATGCGGTCCCGAGACAGAGAGACTATGCCCTGTTTTGTCTCGAATCTCGCCCCCAAGAAAACCAGATCCTGGGTGGGAACCAAATCTGATTTCTTGAGGTTGATAATCCAACCCAACTTGGTGAGAGTATCCATGACTGACTGTGTGGAATCCCGACTCAAGTGGGTAGCGAGTGCCCTGAGAAGCCAGTCGTCCAGGTACGGGTAACCCGAGTTGCCCTGTGCCCTGGCGATCTGAGCTGGCACCAGCATGAGTTTGGTGAACACCCTTGGCGCCGTGGAGATGGAGAGCACACGAAACTGATAACACTTCCTGTCGAAGGAAAACCAGAGGTATTTCCAAAACTCAGGGTGCATCAGTACATGGAGGTATGCGTCTTTGAGGTCGATTGACGTGAGCCAATCCCTTGCCTCTACAGATGAGATCACTGAACGCAGTGTCTCCATCTTGAAAGACGGCACCTCTATTAAATCATTCAGACCCTTGAGATTAAGAATGGGTCTGAACCCTCCGTCCTTTTTGATGACCAGGAAATAAGTGGAGTAAAACCCCAGGTTTTCCTGGCCCACCGGAACCATTTCGATGTCTGCCTTGTCCAGCAATGACTGGACCTCGGCACAGAGTATATCCGCCTTCTCCTGAGAGTTTGGCACCGGAGTGCAACGAATCCTGGAGAAAGGTAAGTAAGTAAGTTGCCGTGCCAGCGTGGACAACGACACAAGATCATCCACGCCCTCCTGGTCCACCAGTTGCCTCTGCAGGGCAGAGAGCTAGGCTGAGTGAACCGTAACCCGAAGCTGCCGTACTGCGTTGCGGTACTGCTCCTCGAGGGAGTGGTAAACCGACTTCAGCACCTTGTTACCGGAGGAGAAAGGCGGCAAGCGTCAACCCTGACAAGCCGAGGCTCGGCTTGACACTCGTCAACCACCGGGGGATCAAACAACATTTCCTCTCCCATCAAGTAGCGCCGATTTAGCTCGGGGAGATCGAACCGTGACCGACTACCTGACAGGAAAGGGTTGGTTGATTACTTCACTGATAAGCGAAGGTAAAATACGTAGCCGGGTATCGGCAACCAGACACGAGCGAAAGCTTCACCGGGAAGCCGGAGCTACGTGGGGTTAGGGTCGTCCAAGGTGACAACCACCTGAGGCTGTACAGCCGCGATGCATTCGTGCACCTGCCTCAGGGACGAACCAAGCGAGAAGCTAGCTGTTCCTAGCCGCTCCCGACCCCCATCCTCATCCATGGCTTCCTCCTCCCGCTCCTCCAGGCAAGAGCTCTCTACATCGAGAGTCAGCTCCGAAGGAACAGAAGAAGGGGCCACGGACGACAGAGGATCGAGAACCGCCGAGAAGCCTGGCTCGACCGAGGCTCTGTTTAAGCTCCCCCGCCTAATGGTAACTGTTGCCCAGTAAAAATGTAGATATATACGCATATTTACACACAAAAATAGCAAAAAAGGAAACCGCACGGACAATAACAAATTTGCCAAACCATACAGCAATTTAAACCAGCTTAACATGTATCATGAACAAGCGGAGAAAAAGCAAGCTATGTGTGCTAACATACAACAGCGTAATATACCGCAGATACAGAAGTATATGCTAAATTACCAACACTGACTTACCGTATTTCACTGAAAGCGAAAAAAGAATAAGGCAGCCTAGCATATGGTAAACATATACACACAAAACATCCAAGCTGTGCAGGCACCAAGCCTAACACACGCTAGGGACGAATGTAAGCCACATGGTCCGCCATCTTGCCTGCCATTTGTAAGGCTGGAGATGGGAACCGACCTGCAAAGTTACAACAATTTATGAATGAAAAAGTCAGCCTATAAATTCCATCTAGCGCCCGTGCGGAAGAAAAGGAACCATACATACAGTATTTGACTCTTTATCACTCATATCCGAAGGGAAGAAGCACAAAACTTCAATGGAACACACGCACGTCTTTCCAGAAGAACGACAGCATGAAAAGTGAGGTGCGAGGTTGATGGCTAGAGTTACCTGCTCTTGGCTGTAGGGGGTACTGAGGGGGCCCTGTAGGGGTGGTCTCACAAGACAAAAACGACTGACTGAGTTTGGTTTTACGCCGCTTTTAGCAATATTCCAGCAACATCACGGCGGTGGACACCAGAAATGGGCTTCACACATTGTGCCCATGTGGGGATTCGAACCCCGGTCTTCGGCGTGACGAGCCAACGCTTTAACCATTAGGCTACCCCATCGCCCCAGACAAAACTGAGTTTTTGTTTTGTAAATATTTAATTAAAAAATATAGTTACAACTGTCTTCGGATTTTAAATGGACATTTAAATGCTTATATGTACCCCAAGGAGGACTTCTTCTGAAAAAGAATCTAGTTGATGTGAAGACACTTGATGTTCTAGGAAGTGAGCAGCCCAACCCTTGAGAGATGCATTGACAAATAGATGATGAGCCAGGACGAAGGGACTCACAGAGTCCAGCGCAAACGCTGTTTGTCGAGCCAGCATCACAGGATCGCAGACAGGTGTCGAACATTCCCCCGATGAACTGAAGTCTCCAGGTTTGTTCCAACTTGCCTAGATTGAGCAGCCACCCTAACTGCCGAAGCAGCTGGGTGGTGAACTGCAGCTGTCGAAGTAGGACACTTGGATCCCGTGTGGACTGGATGCAATCGTCTATGCAACCTCGAAGGCAATCCCTCGAGAGTGAAGGAAAGATATGATCGGTTTGGTGGCCCAAGGCCGTAGATATTGCAAATGGCCGGACCCGCTATTGATACCATGTCCCCTCGAAGATGAACCGAAGGTACCTTCGGTGTTCCAGTTGGATCGGGACGTGGAGATAGGTGTCCTGCAGATCGAGACTGATAAGGTAACCCCCTTTCTTCAGGATGGTGCGAAACAGCCCGATCGACACCACCCTGAAGTGGGGAGGTGCTAGCATGTACTATGCGTTGAACAATTTCATGTTGAATATTAGGCGCAGTTTTGGGAATTGTTCTTTGGTACGAGAAAAGTCGGAGAGTAAATGGAGTGACGGGTGATGGACCGAGGCTCTCTACTGTTAACTTGTCTAAGAGCGAAACCCATGGTAGATCTCAGGATTGGGAGCTGGTCTGGAAGCTCAGAAGCATGTGGAGCATCAAAGTGGTGTGCCCATAACAGGTAACTGTGTAAGAGAGTGTTGGTGACAAACGGGTCCTGAAGGAAGAACCAATTCGGGGTGAAGATTCCTAGTCTCCCACCAACTGGAGAGCTGAAAACCGGAACGACTGGAGGCAGAAGTTCCCAGTGGCACCAGGATATCGATAAGTCACTGTTTCTCTGAGCCACTCCTGGGTCCGGGATGAGGCCTGGCAGGACGTCTGGTGGTGTCGGTAGGACAAATCTTAAAGGGGAACCAGAAAGGTTTGGTGAAACCACCCAAACTGAAGCCCTAACTAGACCAGGGGAACCAGAACAGGGTAGAGATCCCGCCAAGATAGGAGAGTCAGAGTACCGATGATATCCAGAACGAGATAAGGTCTGCTGGTGTGAACTGGTTCGGCTAGGTGACCTCGAACGATGGTGTGAACTTTTGAGGAGATCAGGAACAAGATGGGGAACCAGTTCGGCTGTGTGATCCAGAACGAGATCGCGATCCAGATCGGCTGCGTGATCTCACTACTATGTAAGCTGGTTAGACCGTGTAATCAAGTTCGGTTGCATGATCCAGCTCAGCCATGTGATCCGGTTCGGCTGGGACATCCATTGTGGTCGTGTGAGCCGATTCAATGGTGTGAGTCAGTTCAGTAGTGTGAGCCGCTATGGTCGTAATAAATATACTGAAACTTTCTGTAACTCATGGCATGTGACCTCTAGTGACCTTGACCTCATTAAAAGGTCACAAAATAGTTGATGTGATCAATAAATAATTACTTTCATCAAATTAGGATCCTATTTAATGTACAGGTGATCAACACTCACTGAAACCTATATTTGATTGAGATGGCAATAACTGCACAAGTATGAACAGAAATTCAAAATATAGCTAAGATAAGTTGGCCCTTACCATTCTTTTCTTCCTTTCATCTGACCGCTTCTTTTTTTCTTTCTCTTTAACTTCCTCAAACTCCTCTACCATGTCCAGACAGCTCTCCAGATTCTCAACTGGTTCCCATGTGTCAAATGCTTTTGAGTAGCCCTTCCATCTAACCTTGTACACTTTTATCCCCTGAAACAGTAAGTGAAGTGACCAAGTGAATTTTGTCAGGACCAGACAAACCAATGATTGTTATTATAGTACTGTTGGAAATAGAAAAAAACTGTATTTTCTCATTTATCTCTACAATTTATGTAGTTGATATGTGAAAGTGTGAAATATCTGTTAAACGAAGTTCGGCCAAACTACTGACTGACTGACTGACTGAGTTTGGTTTTACGCCGCTTTTAGCAATATTCCAGCAACATCACGGCGGGGGACACCAGAAATGGGCTTAACACATTGTGCCCATGTGGGGATTCGAACCCGGGTCTTCGGCTTGACGAGCCAACGCTTTAACCAGTATCGGCCTAACTACAGTCTCAGTGGTATAGAGATAGGAAACGGAGAAAAAGGACTTTACTGAGGGGAAATTAGTGCAGAAATGAGCAATGTGGGTTTTTTCTAAGTCCAAAAAGACTTATTTGGAACAGACCATGACTTTATGCAAATTAGTGTGCGACGATATTGTATTACAAAGGACACTTTTTAAATGCCCAATTTGAAATTAGACGTAGATTCATTATAGACGATAGCTGACGTAAAAAATAATAACTTTTATGCCGAAACTATTAAGGATGTAGCTACCATGCAGTCTCACTGTCACTATAAAAAGAAACAGATAGGAGGGGTTGCCTCAAAAGCAAAACCTGGGGTCGGGCTTGGGGATAGAGATATCAGCTGAGATAAGATAATCCTTTAGGGTAATTATACTGGGGAGGTACACGGCACATCATAACAATTTACAAATAATATCCAGTCCTGTCGATCTTCGGGTGGTCATGCCACCTATATACTCACGACGCGCTTCTATGGTTTTCGGTATCATACTCTCTTACATATCTCAACATAAACTTTATGAAAGAAAGACACGTGAAGATGTTAATCAGTAGATGAGACATAGTCAACACACATGAAAAAGCACAAAATATCTTTGAGATGACCCCTTTGCCTGTAGGCAGCACATGCATTTCATGCCAGGTGAGTCGACGGTCCGGTCGTCATACCTGGCTGAGCCTAATCTAATTGCCATCTATAGTCTGATCTATTGTTTTCAGCAGCTATTCGTATTTTTCTAAGTTTTGCCCGATTTTACGAAAGTAAACATGCTTTTCTGATATCGATACGATCCCACTGAACGCCCAGTTAGGTCAAGTGGGTTATTTCGACATATGCTATTTGCAGTTGTGTCAATTTTAGGATACAGAGTAACAGCCTAAAAACAGTTTTTTTCTATTTCCATCAGTACTATAGAAACAATATTCCATGTTGTCAGGGTTACCACAATGCTACAGTCAACTAAGCCATCAGCATTGACTAACTCATCCAATTTACTAGCTCTAACAATATGCATCAAAGTCATGTGGCCTTTTCTAACCCCATCCACATGGCTCTCTTCAAATTAAACTATCCTGACTATACCGTCTTTTTTTTGTCAATATTGATACAAATGATAAGATATTCATTTGGATTAATGCTTAACCCCTTGGATGAAAGAAGGATATGCATAAAAAGGTCTCTTTTATGTGACATCATTTTAGGCAGAGTAAAACAACATTCTCTAAAAATTAGAGCCACAAGGATTTGTGTGAATTTTTCTGTATTAGTATCTGGAATATCAGATCTGAAAGGTCACATTAGACAGGGCTCAATTTAAGGAAATCACACCTACTTGCACTCAGTGCATATTTAGGTAAAGACATGGTGCACAAGACGAAAAGAGTTTTCACCTGCTTCTCAATATACACTGCACAAAAGAATCCAAGGAACACCTAGGTTTTTTATTATAAAGAAAACACATATAATACGATGAAAACATATTTTATTGTGGTTATGGTCAATTCATTGCAGAAACAAAATCACATGAATTGAGATCAAACACAAGAAGTGTATGGACACAATGCACCTTTTACCGTGATAGGGGTCACTTTCAAAAGCCACAAGAACTAGAGTTCTCTAGTACCGCGTGTCCCCCTCTGCTCTCAATGCAGGTGAGGCACCGTCGTCTCATCGATGCAACAAGATTCCTCAGAGTGTCTTGGGGAACAGCTAACCAATCTTGTTGCAGGAATTGTAACAACTGCACAGCGTTTACAGGGGTAGATGATTGATCCTTACACGTTGCCCCAACACGTCCCACAGGTGTTCAGTGGGCACTAGATCGGGTGAATAGGCCGGCCACTGCATGGTGTTGACATTGTTTTGTTGCAGGAAGTCAATGACAACTCCCCCACGGTGTGGTCGTGCGTTATCGTCCTGCAAAAGTGGCTGCTTGACCAATGGCGTTTAGGGCTGGAATAACGATGGGTTGCAAATTCTCATCCTGATACCTTATGGCTGTCAGATTCCCTTGGATGTAATAGAGGAGTGCGGGTGACCATTGCTGAAGCCACCCCACACCATAAGTGACCCCCCGCCAAACCTGTTTCGTTCCCTAACGTTGACGTCAGAAAATCTCTCGCCCGGACGTCTGTACACATGAATACGGTCATCATTGTACTGCAAACAAAATCTAAACTCGTCAGTGAAGAGCACATTGTTCCACTGACGTCTGATCCAACGCAAATGGTGTCTGGCCCATGTTAAACAGTTGACTCGGTGATGTGGAAGCAGTGGTGGACGTACAGCTTGACATTGTGACCTTAAATTGCTCTCTTTGCTTTTTTTTGATGATAATTACATTTATTTTCCCAGAAACATATGCAGTCATATTGAAATGATACTTGCAACACAAACACAGCAATTTATACATTGATAGTAGCAAAGCAAGCTAAAGGTGAGTTTAACACCAGACTGCTGCAACCATTTGACATGGAACTCATTTATACACCCGTGTGCTGCATTTGACCACGAATATGTCCCTGGGAGATCTAGACACCGATCTGGGGGAATGTCATGGGATTGCTAAGGCAATTGGGAAGATAATTCCTTTAAATGACCTTAAATTGCTCTTACGCAGACGGCTCCTGATGGTCTGAACTGAGACACTGACGTTGTCTGCATTTTGGAGGTGACTTCTAAGGGCGTTTGCAGTGACAGTTCTTTGACGTAACGCTGTGATGACAATGAATCTGTTCTGTCGACGAGTTGTTATTTGTGGACAACCAGGGCAGCGTTATTCACAGACTTCTCCAGTAGTTTGGAAACGAACCTATAGTCTGTAAATAACCGAGGGTGAAACATTAAATCTTCTCGACGCCTCACATATGGCAATAGCCTCCTGGATCAACCCAATAGCTCTCCCCCTGTCGGCAATGCTTAGACGGCGACATTGAGGCATGGTTTTCAACATGTGATTGAACTGTGTTCCAGGCGTTGCTTACAAGGTAAATTTGTGCATGATGTTCAGGGAGATTTGCACTATCACGTGCACTGGCAGGTTTGGGTGTATTCGGGAGAATAAGACCTATGGAAGCCTCAGATTGCAACTCAGAAATGCGGAAAAATGTCTAATTTCCAACTTCAAACCCTTCAAAATTCTATCGGCTTATCGTCCTAACATAACATGACCTTTAAACCATTACCAGTTGTCGATCAAATGAAATCATTATATTGCACTCAATCTCTGCAAATTTTCCAGCATATTAACTAAAAGATTCTGACCCAAAATTACCACTGTTCCTTGGATTCTTTTGAGTAGTATATAATACTTGAGTTTGGTTATTTATGATTTGGAACATTTTAACAAACTTATGAATGGTGTAATTCAGTTATGATGAAATTGAGTCTGTATCCCAGGATTTCTCAGACATTTCAGTTGATTTCACTGGTTCATGGCGATGGTCTTTCGTGTGGTCACCTGTCACTCATACATCTACCTTAAGGACCATTTCTACCATGCTGTCATGTACATACTTTTCCATCAACACTGTTTATTTTAGATCTCCCCAAATGTCCGAAGAGGAGTCCACTTTTGAAAACTGTTCCCTGTAGTTTACAATGGACATCTTGCATATCTATAACCATTTCTCTATTCTGGGACGTATATTTTGTTGGTGTTTTGTCGAACAGTGGTTTATCATGAATCGTCACAATCTTTATTCTCTCTGTGCCCAATAGATGCATTCTGAATTAATTCTTTGACATCTGACCAATAGTGCATTTTTGTGTGTTTGATTATATTGTTTCCCTGTGTGTGTCAAGAGTCCGAAAGATGTAGGCTGCAACCTTTCTCCCGTTTCTTAGAAGCCTGCCAATAGTCTTTTCTTGAATATGTTGAAGCTTGCTGAGACTTCTTGGATTAAAAAATGCCACTTGCTGTCATTTTTAATACATCTTTTCAAGCCATGGAATGCCTTTTCTTCATTTCGTCAACATCCGGCTACGTCAGATGTCCCCTATGTCCTGGCATACCTTGGTATCAACTTAGACATATATCCAGTGAATGCTGGGCGATTTTGTCCAGATTCATGAGTGCCTGTATGTCCACAGCAGCCACATTGCCCTCACTTGTAATATAGGTTTTCGTCCTCACCACTGCCTCACAACAGATCCAGTTTAATCTGTTTGACCTGCGGTCTTGTATCTTCCACATGCATAGACTCAGCTGGAAACTGATGTAGCTCCCTTCTTTGTTGACTGATTTTTGTATCAGCGTTTGATTATGTTTCCACCAAATTCACAACTGTTGTCTACTTTTCTTAACCTGTTTCCATATGGTAATGTGGTCTTGTGCTGCTGGTCTCATGTAAAGAAATAAATACCTTGAACTTGTTGAACAGGAAGTCATCACTGAATTTCTTCCTCATTTGGTGTTACTGGTCTCTGGAGCCACCAGGTGTATTAGCAGGGTTTGGGAGGCTCTTGGCTTGTTGGGCTCTGTCCCTACCTCTGTAGATAATCAGTGCCCTTAAATAATGACAATGCTGACTCCACAAACCAGAAATATCAGAATTTCCTTTCAATCCCTTCTCACCAGTCTTCTCATAAATGCCCAGTAAACAAGTGTTCTGTAGATGGGTTGGTTTCCAATGTTCTTGTTTCTATTTGGACTGGCAGCTGTTTTGCCTTTTGCTGCCCTCTTCTGCCCTCCATGTTTTTTTTAAATATGTGGCTTGGAGAGTGCCTGCTTTGTACTCTTCTCATGATAATTGGAGGGTTCAGTATTGATATATATATACGGCTAACAAAATGTTCAAACACTCTTGTGCACCACAGTACCTGAGGTGTTTCATCCCCATTGTCAGGTAATTATTCTTTCTCAGGCGCATATGACACAACACACTTCTTCTTGTACATAGTGTATCCTAGGGAGAGAGTTGTCTCCCTTGTATAAACAAAATACTCAAAAGGGCCACACTGGGGTCCAACATTTGTGTATGAGTCTGCCAAACTATAAAACGTTTGGATGCGTACAGATTGTCCAGTTACCTTTATATCCATCAGGCAATTTAGATTATATAAATTCCTGTTTTAGGTTGTTGAAGTTACTACCTCTTCCTAATGATAACAAAGTGATTGTATTGCTTGTATTGTATTGATGTGCCTCTGAAGCATCAGTAATAGTAATGTTCATTCTTACCATCTATGATTTACTGTTTGATATTAACAACTGAAGTCCAGAATTCAAAATAAAACTGATTTCTTATGGACTGACCAAGTCATTTATGAGGTATGAAACAAACATCATGCAAATAATACACATATCACATCAAGAGGTCAGGCACCTTTTACAATACAGTAACCTATGCATAACGTTATATCGAGCTACATTATTTCGTCGTTCCATTTTCATTATCCAAGGGAGGTAAATGGAGTAGGCCATAAATGCATGCACTGTTTTAATGTGCAACAAATTTGTTGTACATTAACCAACTAGTTTGTTTGTCAACACACATTAACTAAGGCTGATACAGCTTCTGACAAAATATGGCATGATAAGTAATGACTTAAGAGTCCATATATATAACAGGAGATTATCTCCAAATATTTACATGCATGCGAGTGAGTTTAGTTTTACTCTGCTTTTAGCACTATTCCAGCAATATCACGACGGGGACACCAGAAATGGTCTTCACACATTGTGCCCATGTGGAGAATCGAACTCGGGACTTCGGCATGACGAGTGAATGCTTTAACCACTAGGCTACCCGACCACCCTTTTACATGCAAAAAAACATGAACTTGACAATAATGTGGGATAAGTCAGTGTGATACTGAATCATAAGAATACATTACTGCTTAATTTTCTCTATAAAATACAACCAAATTTACGCCAAGATTATCTGTGTCAAATGAGAGGAAGAATATTGTCATGGTTATTGGCACGGCTACTGCAAAGGCACAATGTTCTAGACTGGAATGCCTTTTTGTTAGATCAAACAAGAGTAATAAGATACCCATCCTGATAATTTCAACTAGATGGTGTTATAAAATAGTATCCATAACTGAAAACTGCACATTATTTAATCTAGTCTGGTCTCCATTTGGATCTCAGGTTTGCTAATGAATTGACAATACTCGCAAATTTAAGTCTGCACTTATAAAATAAATTATATGGAAGGATAATTCAAACATCAACAGAACTAGAATGAATGGTGAAAAGCATCTTTGTGAACAAAGACATTCCGCCAGTGGTTAACAACAGAGCTGAAATTGTCCACGGAGCAGCTGCTCGAGCCATCTAGGTTACTAATGTCAAGGCCAGTTGTCACTCACGTTTGTATTTTTCTTCATTCCTACTATTTGCTCTACTTCGTATAATTGTTCAGCTTCACTATTAGCACCATTACTGCCGTCTCCTGTCGACATCGAGTCTTCCTCGGCCATTTCTTCGTCAGATATCGGCGCACCTTCCTCGTCGTCCGCCATGTTGCCCACTGACAGCGACTATACCATGTTCAGAATAGGGGTGATGTGTAACTTCAAAACATGATTAATTCGCTGAGTGACGTGCACGTTTACAGCTTTGTGGGGTAACAGTTATGTCAGAATTACAACATGTATATGTGATTGTACAGGCTGTCTCACTGACTCTCACTAAAAATCCATATTTGGGTTACATTAACATCCGTTCCACTCAGCGGTATCAATCGACCAAACCATTGACCTATATTTACATTCGTGAACAAAAATAAGGTCAGTGGGACATATATGTATATATGTATATATGTATATATATATATATATGTCGTCTGGTTTAAGATAAGACCTACGTACGATAATAAACGATATTCAAAACTAGGTCTACAGTACGTTTTAAGCAAAACAAAACACATGGGAAGTTACATCGTCATCACATATTAATGTTTGTTATTAAATTCATTATCAATTCAACGACAGACGCCGGACTTTCCCTCATTTCTGCTGTGAACCACTGTACGCGCTTGCTTAGAAGTGTCGGGCTGGCTACTCGTGGTCAGCTAAATGGTTATATATAGGTCATTTATTACGGGAAGGGAAAAAGTTGGTGTGCACAAAAGTACTGAAAATAATTACCCCCCTCGTGTCCATGTATCTCCACTTATGAAAACGATGTATGTCTGTGTGTATGTGTGTGTGTGTGTGTGTGTGTATGTGCATGTTTATGTATATATGTGTGTATATGTATGTGTAACACATATATATATATATGAATACAATTACAGAATTTGATGTACAGTAATTGGATTTTCACATGTCACTCATGTTTTGTACACACATGCCACTACTGCAACGTGATGCGGCGCGTGCTGCACGTGCAGTACGTGACTGTGATTGCCCGATACTTGGTGTGAAGACGAGTGTTAGTTGAGTAATTTCACTTATATGGAAGACATTCATGGACTATCCATGTATTGTGGTATTGTTTTGCTTCTACAATTATGAATTATCATGAAAAGACACTCATGGACGTATGAAACAAGATACGTGATATTAATACTTGATACTCTGGCTTTAACCAGACATATATATGCATGTATTACAAGTTGAATTATATTTACAGAAGACAAGGTTTGGTGAAGTTTGTTTAGAAACGAGTTTTTTATATTCCCAGTCATAGGTGGTTGGAACTTTCTGAGTTTTTTCGGAAGCTACTAATGAATTGTTATTTCACCCAGTTTACCTTTATTTCCTGTTTTTGTAAAACCCCAGGTACTAAACATTGCCCATCAAATACTGAATTACCTATGTTGTTTGGCACACAGTTCATCTACATGGTTAAGCATTGAAAATACCCAACATGTCAGACAGTGTAAAAATACTATTACGGGAAGGGAATTAGTTGGTGTGCACAAAAGTACTGAAAATCAATTACAACCCCAACAACTCCCCAACCCCCAACCCCCATCCCCCTCTCGTGTCCTTGTATCTCCACTTCGCACTTAATAAAACGAATTGCAAAGCATTTGTTATTTTATGATTAAATGTAATTTTTCCACGAGTAATTTAAGGTCGGGGAGTTATCGGCTATTGTTTACAAGGAAAACATGAATAGGTTGGACGAACTGTCTCTTCAAAGTTTTTCTGTCTACAATGTATGTATGTATGTATGTATGTATGTATGTATGTATTTATGTGTGTGTGTGTGTGTGTGCGCGCGTGTGTGTGTGTGTGTGTGTGTGTGTGTCTGTCTGTCTGTCGGTCTGTCTCTCTCTCTCTCTCTCTCTCTCTCTCTCTCTCTCTCTCTCTCTCTCTCTCTCTCTCTCTCTCTCTCTCTCTATCCCTCTCTCTCACTGTGTACACGTACGTACACGTACGGAAATACGGACGCACGCATGTGCACGTGGATGTATGGCAGAAACAGATTATATATTTTTATTTTTCATATTTTGTATAACCGATGTATATAATTCATTGGGTTTTCTTTTCACAGTTTGGGTCATGTAACACAATTTTTCTCTGATTAAAACAAAAATAGAAAAGAAACTGAAATTTGGTAACAATTTACTTGCAGTGGATAAAAAAATAATAATACTTTATTGCCCGACAAAGGAATTCGTTTCACAACAGTTAGACATACAGCATGGTTAAAACAAATTAAGCACAGAAACACGATCACCTTAAAACACACAGATAAACAGGATGAGAAGAATAACCAGTGTATACTGTATGAGACTAGTAGACAAATACATTTAAAATTGTGGCTCAGTCTAACAGTCATTTAAAAGTTTAACGCTAACAAGTATAAAAGATGTTTGGGACCTTTTTGTGCGAACGTTATAATTTAGGGACGAGGAATCTACGTCCAGATGCAAAAAGTTTAAAACAAGAATGTAAGTCATGAGACGGGTCGGATAAAATTTTGTTCGCAGACATTAAAACACGATTCTCATACAAATGACAAAGGGGGTTAAAATTCATGCCGATAATTTTTTTGAACAGGTGGTTACAACCTTTTGGAGTTTCTCTTTGTTTTGGAGAGAAAGGGCATCGAACCAACATTGAACAGAGAACAGTAAAATAGATTGGATACAGCAGTTATAGAAAACATTCAAAATGGCATTGTCAGTGTTAAAAGATCTGAGCCTTCTCATAAAATACATCCGTTGTTGGAATTTCTTGTATATAGCCTCGGCATTTTGAGAGCAAGTGAGTTTACTGTCTGTGATAGTTCCGAGACACTTGTAATCCGTGACAGTCTCTATAATTTCACCATGAATTTGCAGAGGGGCACAGTTTGAATTTGCCTAAAGTCAATGATCATTTCTTTGGTTATTTCTAGTGTTGAGCTGAATGAAGTTTCTGCTACACCATAATGTGAATTTGTTGACTTCAGACCGATAACCTTCTTCAGAGTCTGCCATGAGAGCGACTAGTGCAGTATCATCAGCAAACTTTACTGTTGAACAGTTATCCTTGGTGCTCCGGCAATCGTTGTTGTACAGAATGTAGGCCAGGAGCATTAGACACAAACAATAGGTAACATTGGGAACAAATAGTAGAAAGCTGAATTTTTCAGGAAAGCTTCAGAACATCATTGCCATGTGCAAGATACAAAGTTCTGCAAATTCTACCTTGTGGCATTTTCAAAATGGCCGCCAAAATCATTAAAACGATTATGCAAACAGATATTTCGTCAATAATTATGCCATGTGATATATGAAATGAAAGCTCATCTCACAGGGATTTTAAATATATTGATATCAAGTCTTGTGGCATTTTCAAAATGGCCGCCAATTTCAAAATGGCTGGGGACTTTAAATGGACAAACCATAATATGTTTTTTTCTTATTTCAGAAAGACTTTCTGCTGCTGATCTATGCATTTGGGTGAACTTAATTGAAGTGAGTGTTTCAAACTGCCAGAACAACATAAAACACAACATAATGACAGAAAGATGTGGAATTCCAACCTGTGGAAAAGACACTGCAACTGATCGTGTGGAAGTTCGTGAAAAGGGCCTTCATGGTCTTGTCCGAGCAAGTATATTGAGAGGAGATGGTAACCAGTCATTTTCTTTAAGAAAGCATGGCAAAGTTACCATTTGTTGTCCATGGGGAATGCAGAAGACACTACATCAGAACGAGCAGCATCAATTCTTTCAAAAGAAAAAATGAAGAACTCCTATCTCCCGACATTGAAAGCCAAGCTTCTAAATTGCGCTCAAAGACTCCTGTTGTTAATGTCAAAACACATTGTCTCTACTGTACTAAGGAAATAGCAAAGGGAAAATCTTATTTAAATATTCCCCATCATCGTAGAGTCAAGTCGCATGAAGCTATGACGAAGGATTCTCTTCAAAGCATACTCAAGAAAGCAGATGCTGGAGCTGACGAGTGGGGGGACGCTGTCAAACAACTCCGGATCTCAAATACCTTTGATTGTAGAATAGAATAGAATAGAATAATACTTTAATGCCTTTTCAAGAATTTGTGTTACACCAGCAGAGCTACTGCCACATTAGAGAGATACCAAACATATTTACATACATTCTTTGATTTAGCTATCTTCACATTTGTTTAAGAGAGATATGGTACTTGGAATAAAGGATGTACGGACGCTCTTAGTTTTCACAATTGGAACTTTGTAGCGGCGGCCTGAAGGGAGGAGGTTGTATTCCGAATTTAAGTAGTGAGTACGGTCAGATATGATTTTGACAGCTTGATTCACGATTTGCCGCTCATATATTGATGATAAACATTCAAATCTGACTCCAGCGATTTTATTTGCAGTGTTAACAATTTTGTCTATTTTAGATTTGAGATGAACTGAGAGAGACCCGTACCAACAATGGAAGGAAAATGTTAAAATACTCTGAATAATGCTACATAAAATGATGACATCACAGATGGGTTAACATTAAAAGATCTCAGTTTACGCATGAGATGAAAACGTTGTTGACTTTTTTTGTATAGGGCTTCATTGTTAGAGTTCCAGTTCAGCTTAGAGTCAATGAAGGTTTCCAGATACTTATACTCCGACACTGTCTCAACACATTCACCGTTGATTATCACTGGAAGCATTTCTGTGGGTTTACTCCGAAAGTCAATTATCAGTTCCTTTGTTTTTGTGACATTTAAGAGTAAGTGGTTTTCTGCACACCAAGTCGTAAGATGATAAATGTCCTCTTTATACAGTTCTTCAGAATCAGTGTCGTTCAGTTTGCCGACAATTGATGCATCATCTGCGAAATTTACAGTTGAACAGGTTTGAATTCGAGCTTGCACAATCATTAGTGTAGAGGGTGAAAAGAACAGGAGATATTACACAGCCTTGTGGTGCACCAGTGTTGGTGGTCCGTTTACTCGATACAGCCCCGTTAACTTTCACGTACTGCTGTCTGTCCACAAGAAAGTTTTCGATACACTTGATGAGGTATGAGTTAACGCCCATGTCTAACAGTTTCTGTATCATGATATGTGGCTGGATAGTGTTGAACGAAGATGAAAAGTCAACGAAGAGGATCCTGATGTATGACTTAGGTGTCTCTAGATGTTTATAGACATTTTTAAG